TAAAGAGAAAGAGACAAATGAGAGTGATAGAGACTAACGAGAAAGAGAGATAGGAACGGGAGGGAAAGAGACTAGATAGATAGATAGATAGATAGATAGATAGATAGATAGATAGATAGATAGATAGATAGATAGATAGATAGATAGATAGATAGATAGATAGATAGATAGATAGATAGATAGAGACGAGCGCGAGGGAGAGAGATTAACAAGAGAGACCAACGGTAGGGAGAGAGACTAACGAGAGAGAAAGAGAGTGACGAACGGGAGGGAGAGAGACTAACGAGAAAGAGAAACGAACGGGTGAGACTAAAGAGAAAGAGACAAAGGGGAGGGATAGAGACTAACGAGAAAGAGATATAGGAACGGGAGGGAAAGAGACTAACGAGATAGATAGATAGATAGATAGATAGATAGATAGATAGATAGATAGATAGATAGATAGATAGATAGATAGATAGATAGATAGATAGATAGATAGATAGATAGATAGATAGATAGATAGATAGATAGATAGATAGATAGATAGAGAATGATAGAGAATGAGAGAGAAATGAGTGAGAGAGCGATATAGAGATAGAAAAAGAGTGAGAAAGGAAACATGAGTGAGCTAGAGAGGGCAACAGAGAAAAAACAGTGTGAGAGACAAGAGAGAGAGAGAGAGAGAGAGAGAGAGAGAGAGAGAGAGAGAGAGAGAGAGAGAGAGAGAGAGAGAGAGAGGACAGATAGTGTTTTTGAAAGAAAAAGTGTGTGATAGAGAGTGGAGAGAATGGAGGTGAGAGAGAGAGAGAGAGAGAGAGAGAGAGAGAGAGAGAGAGAGAGAGAGAGAGAGAGAGAGAGAGAGAGAGAGAGAGAGAGAGAGAGAGAATACGATAAAAAAAGAAGACAGACCGAGAAAAGTGTGTGTGAAATAGAGAGAAAACAGAGTGAGAAGATAGATTGTGACATAAGTGTGAAAGGGAAACGTATGAGAGAGACAGACAGACAGAGGGATATAAACAAAAAATTGATTTGCAGTTGATGGAGACAAAGAGATTAAGATATACACAAGAGTGAAGGTGTGAGAGAAAAGAGAGAGAGAAAACATAGAGAGAGAAAAATGAGAGTAAGAGATAGTCATTCTCTCTATCGTCTCTCGCTCTCTCGTTAGTCTTTATCGTCTCTCGCTCTCACGTCTCTCTCTAATCTCGCTCTATATCGTCCCTCTCTCGTCTCGCTCTCTTTCTCGTCTCTCTCTAGTCTCGCTCGTTCACGACTCTCTCTCGTCTCTCTCTCGTCTCACTCTCTCTAGTCTCTATATCGTCTCTCTCGTCTCGCTCTCTCTTTCATCTCTCGTCTCTCATGTCGCGTTCTCTCGATCGTATCGCTCTCTCTTGTCTCGCTCTCTCTCCCTCGCCTCGCTATCTCTCGTCTCTCTCTCGAATCTATCACACTCCTAACTTTCTCTCGTATCTCTCTCACACACGTCTCGCGATCTCTAGAATCTCTCTCTGTCTCTCGTCTCTCTCCCATATCTTCTTTCGTCTCGCTATCTCTAGTCTCTCTCTGCTCTCACTTCTCTCTCGTCTCGCTATATCTCATCTCTCTTGTCGCACTCTTTCATCTCTCTCTCGTCTCGCTTTCTCTCTTCTCTCTTTCTCTCCCTTTCGTCTCGTTCTCTCATGTCTCTCTTTTGTATCGCTCACTGTATCGTAGCTCTCTCGTTAGTCTCTCTCGTCTATCTCTCATCTCTCTCGTCTCTCTCACGTTAGTCTCTCTCTCGACAGTCTCTCTCTCTCGTTTGCCTCGTCAGTCTCTCTCTAGTCTCTCTCTCATTAGTCTCTCTCGTCACTCTTTTATGTCTATATCTCTCTTGCCTCTCTTTCTCTCGTCTCGCTCTATCTCGTGTCTCTCTCTCTTTCTCTCGTCTCTCTACCTCTAATCTCTCTCTGTCTGGTCTCTTTCTTGTCTCTCTCTTTCTCTCGTCTCTCTAGCTCGTCACGCTCTCCCTCTTGTCTCTCTCGTCTCATTCTCGTTCCGTATCGTCTCTCACTCTCTGGTCTATCTCTCCTACGCTCTCTCCCCTGTCTCTCTCTCTCTTTCTCTCGCCTCACTTTCTCTCGTATCTCTCTCCTCTCGCGCTATGTCGCATCTCTATCGTCTCACTCTCGTCTCTCGTCATTCTCTCTCCTTCTCTCACGTATCGCTCTCCCTCTCTCTCTCTGTCTCTGTCTCAGTCTCTCTCTCTCCTGCCTCGCTCACTTTCGTCTCTCTCGTCTTGCTTTATTTCATCTCGGTCTTTCTCGTTTCGATCTGTTTCTCGTCTCTCTTTTCTCTCTTTCTCTTGGATCTCTCGTCTCGCTCACTCAGTTTCCTTTCTCACTCTTTTTTCTATCTCTATATCGCTCTCTCACTCATTTCTCTCTCTCTCCCCTCTCCCTGACTCTCTTTTCTCTTTCTTTCTCTCTCTCTCTTTCTCCCTCTTCTCTCTTCCTCTCACTCTCTTTTTTATCTCTCCCTCCCTCTCTCTCAGTTTCTCTCTCTAACTCCCACTCTCTATTGTCTCTCTATATATTTTACTCACTCTCTTTTCCCTCTTACACACACACTTTTCGTTCCCTCTCTCATTCACTCTCTTATAACCTCTCTTCCTCCCTCTCCTCTCTCACTCCTCTCTCTCTCTCTCTCTCACACACACATGTCTATTCTCTTTCTCTGTCGCACTTTCTTTCCTCTTCTGTCTCATTCTCACTCTTATCTCTCTCACGTCTTTCTCTCTCTCTCTCTCCCTCTCTCTTTTTATCTCTCTCTCATTCTCTCTTTCTGGTCTCTCGCATTCTCTATATCTCACTCACACACTCGCTTTTCACTATCTCTCTCAACTTTTTTGTCTCTCTTTCACTCTCTCTTTCTCTCTCTTTCTCATTCTCTATATCTCTCGCTCTTTCTCAATCTCTGTTCTCTCCATCCCATTCTCACTTTCTTTTATCTCTCTATTTCTTACTCTCTTTTCTTACTCTCTTACTCTCTTGTTCGTCTCTCTCTCTCACTTGTTCGTCTCTCTCTCTCCCTCTCCATCGCGTTCGTCTCTCCCTACCTCACATTCGTCTCTCTTTTTGGTCTCTCTCTCTCTCTCTCTCTCTCTCTCTCTCTCTCTCTCTCTCTCTCTCTCTCTCTCTCTCTCTCTCTCTCTCTCTCTCTCTCTCTCTCTCTCTCTCTCTCTCTCTCTCAGTCACAGTCTGATGGAGTCAGGCCACAATTAATAATTCCAGTTCAGTATCCACGAATGTAGTCCCAGTCTATTTTTCGATCATTTTTGTCCAGTCTCCGTTTGGTGGTAAGGATTTAAAGGCAATTGTTTATTCTTTAAAATGTGAGCTTATGATGTGGTTGTCTTTGTGTATATCCGTGATAGTGCACAGTTATGATGATTAGGTGATGATTCGGAAGTGAAATCTGTGTTCCATTGCATGGTGTTTTGTTTACAATTTAGCCTCTCAAAAATGCAGGTGAACCCTCGACAAGAACTTCACCGTAAAGTCATCTTCGAATGTATTTTAGATTAATATATGATTTGCTTTGATTGTCACACAGTGGAAAGTTCAGTACTGAGAAACAAAATGTAGAGATTATATAGTAAAATTAATTGTGTTCTATGACCTGTTAGTTATAACCGTTGTACAGGAGGGCCCCGAGTGGCCGAGTGGTCTAAAGCGCTATCCGTTTCGAATCACTGCCATCTCACCTCTGTCTGCGTAGGTTCGAATCTAAGATTAGGCGAATGTGGATATGTGAGAAAGCTTGCCAGTAGCTTCTCGTTGGTCGGTGGTTCTTTCCGGTGATTTCCCGGTTTCTTCCTCCACCATTAATACTGGCCGCCATGAATAGCCTATCGCATGCTGCAAAATGGCGTTAAGCCCAACAACAACAACAACAACAACCTTTGTACAGTCTTCCTAGTCAGAGTTGCAGTATGATAGGTATAACCGTGGCCCAGTCTGTTCAGCCAGAGTTGCAGTCTCATAGTTACTTCCATGGCACAGTTTGTTTAATCAGTTTTCATTGTCATAGTTATAGCTACGACACAGCTACTCCAATCGAAATTGCAGTATTTTAGTTAAATCCATGACACAGTCTCTTCATTTAGAGTTGCATTGTAATGGCACAGTCTGTCCAGTTTTAGTATGGTAATTATAGCCAGGACACAGACTGTCCAGTCAGATTATTTTAGTGTCATAGTTACAGCCATGGCACTGTTTGTCCAGTCAGATTATTTTAGTGTCATAGTTATAGCCATGGCACTGTTTGTCTAGTTTATTCTTTTAATGTCATAGTGATATCCGTGGCACAGTTTGTCCAGTCAGATTCTTTTGGCATGATAGTTATAGCCATGACACAATTTGTCCAGTCAGTCTGTGTTGGATAGCTTTTGCTAAGGCACAATCTGTCCAGTCATATTTACATGGCACTGGTTCTGCGTAGTATTAGAATCTTCAAATAAACTCATCACTTTCTTACCGACTTAAAATATAATTTTGTAACCTATATTAAATAACCAACTAAAATCAATTTAGCATTCTTGCACTAATGATGGATATAGGATTTTAATAGTGGTGAATATTAGTTGTAATAAAACATGTTCAGTTTTCTAATTATATATGTCCAACACGATGCTGAACTTAGAACGGAAGAGTGGATTTACGTGTCGGCTGAGACTAAACATTTCCTCATGCGCATTATATTTTAAATAGAAAATTAATTCTGGACCAATATCTTTGTTTCTAGAATGCCCCTCTCCTGCTCATTTTTGATTCCAAGATGGGGCACAAATAGTTAATTATGAAGATCGTTTAATACTTTCGTGGAAAAAATATACTTAATGTTAGAATAGATTAAGAATTCATTTAAAAAGTATAATGGCCTATCGGACTAGATTACTGCGCCATTTTGAACCACATACTTGCCAGAAAGACCTTACTAAGCCAATGTTAACCTTAAACTGGCACTCTCAAAGTAACATAGACCGCTCCGGTGGCCTAATGGTTGCAGCGTTCGCCTCAGATGTGAGAGGTCGCGGGTTCGAACCCCATCCGAGTTATACCAAAGACTTTTTTTTAAAAAAAATGTTACTAACAGCTGCCTTGAGATTAGTTTTAAGACTGGTCGGCCCAGTGTCAGGATAATGTGACTGGGTGGGACATCATGTTACATATCTGCGGCATTATGACCCAGTACTAGTTATCACTATAAACTTTCGCACTGCAGACATCGTAGGGATATGACTGAAAAATTGTTAAAGCTACGTTAAAAATCTAACACACACACACACGTACGCACGCACACTCCATGCTACTTATTGCACTTATACTGTAACCAAATACTTATTATACTACTATGCCTATAATATTAGACATATTATATTCGACCATATTGATCAACATATTTCAAAAACTAGTGAAACACGAAACATGACCAATGAATATAATTAGATACACGAGTATCAACGGCATTCATAAGAAAGTACAAATAATGTGTTTTATTTTTATTCGTTTTTTTCCTTCGCTTTTTTATGCTTACGTAACTCGTAGGAAGAATGATAACTTGTAACGTGATAATTAGGGATAAAGCATATGTGCATTAATAGCTTTGGGAGTGCTTATTACAGGTTAACATTAGTTAATTAAGGATAGTAATAATTGTAGGGGTCAGTACGGGGTCAAAACATCACTTTTGGGACTTACGATAATGTCTTTATGGACTTTTTTAACATTTGTTTTTATTTTTTCTCAGCTGAGTATCGTTGTTAGATATAATTGATGAAATATATCTACTGATTCGACCCTGCTAATTTGCTGTAAAACTACAGTTACATTCTGATGTTAAATTCCCGTTAGACCCAGCCCAACCCCCATTGCCAATCCTAAAGATGCTTTTGACATTAAATTTCTGTCAGACTCTAAAGTGACTTAATCTAAGATGGCCATATTGACCTCAGAGTAACGTTTTGCCCCCTACCCCCGCCTGTCACCCCTACAACTATTAAAAAGTGTGTTATTATTATACAACGAAGCGAACACTTTGGATACCGCCATTAGTGTTCGAGAGATTTTCACAGCATTAGAAATTCGTTTCAAACTTAAAGCAATTCCTTGTAATTAAATTTCTTATTTGCTTGTGTTTACTTCTTGGAATTAAACTGTGCATATTTCATTGAATCATATCCTTTTTTCAAGGAAGATACATCTGTACTGATAAACATCTGTTCTGATCGTCAAGACAGTACACGAATAATGTTTCGAATTTTATTGAAAGAAATAAGGTAAAATACTGAATAAATCTAACATTTTATTTTTTAGTACTTATATACATCAAATTCAGCTTTATGATCACGACGGAGTACTTGCAAGTTACGAGGTTTAAAACATATTAGAGATATACACACAAAGTTTAACGTTTGACGTCTGAGAATGCCTGTTAAGTACCATATGGTATTGATAAACCCCCCAAAAAAGACAATCTTTAAGGATTGGAGAAAAGAAAGAAAAACGCGAGTACGAACTGGTCTCTTTAAGTTAGAATCTCTCTCTCTCTCTCTCTCTCTCTCTCTCTCTCTCTCTCTCTCTCTCTCTCTCTCTCTCTCTCTCTCTCTCTCTCTCTCTCTCTCTCTCTCTCTCTCAACTAAATTATCAGAGCTTTAAAAACTGATAAACAATTGTTATTCGTACTGTTCTTGAAACGTATGCAAAAGGCAGTGACTTTAGTGAATACTTTTATTAAGTAAACTTATTGGTGAAATATGTTTCGTATTTATTCAGTTCAATATTTTTCTCATATGTGCAAACTATGTTCTTGATTGCATGTGCTTATATTACATAACAGTTATACTTGCAGCAGGAAATATCAGCACTTTTGGGATAAAATAAGTAAATAGAAACCATTACCTTTCAGGCATGGGGATATTTTTTTGCTGAAGATATCTGACTAAGTGTCGTTATCTTCTCTACGAAGTTAATTCCCCCGTATCATGTCAACATAATAAAAAAAAAAACAGGTGCGCAACAAAGAATCTGTGGTGAAATTGGGTAAAATAGTTTACTAAATATCCAAAATGTAAATGCAGTGCAAAATATTAGGTCATCCCAAACCTTGCTCTCTCTTAAATCGCTGTTTCTTCGTTTTTATGATATGCTTTTTAATGCTATTAAAAATGAGGTAAATTTAAAAAGACGCGTGTGTGAGTGCGAGCATGCGTACGTGTGCATGCATGTGCGTGTATGCGCGCTAATTAGTGAGCTTAACTGTTTAAGCATCGATTCAAGAGCAATACTAATGTATAATTAATTTTCTATTTATGTGTAAATACCATAGATAGCTTATCTTGTGATACAAAAATAAAACATCTTGTGGATATTTGTTGTACCACTCGATGAATGTATCGAGCAATAACATATAAAAACTTTTTTTTTCAATGTATTCTTGCTTCAAAATACGGTAGTTTTCATCTTTTTCTTAGAGTGTCAATGTTTGTGGATTTAAATTTTGGTCTGGAGCACTGAATAAAAATAAAAATCAACGAATAATTTGCCACATGTGATGAAGAAAGAAAGACTCCTCCTCCACCCTTTGATAGATTCCCGAGATCAACAAAGTTCTACTTTCTATTAGTTCTTACAAGTGTTTGTTTTATTTAAGCAACAAAAATATAATTATAGCGCATTTTAAATTGTTTGGGAATACATATACATTTATTTACACAGTATCCGTTAGCTCTCTTCTCTACTTACTGCATGTGATTAGAACAACAAGGACAGAAAGGAAACGGAAATAATGTTGTTATGTATATACATATATAATTTGTAGATCCTGGTAAATGATTTTATATAATTTTGTAATTTTTATTTTCATTCGTGGCTGTAAATTATGGAGACTGTCTTAGATAAATTTTTCTACGTGAACTGAGTCTGTTAAGAGTATGATAGTTACATAGGATATATAAATATATGTATGTGTTGACAATCACTAATCTTAATAATAAAACTTAATGGTGCATTTGCCTTAATTTCTCATTGGCTAATGGGGTTTCGACGTTCCTGGGATAATTCAGTAACTTCCCATTGGTTGGAGTAGATCACATGAATAGCAAGTTCAATGGAAAATAAATAGTAACATCCGTCAAGTCAGGTATATATTATACAATGTATAGGTGCGATGGCGCTTTATTAAATCAAATTACGCTCTATATTGAAAATGACACTTAAAGTTATACACTCCATATCTAAAATTACACATAAAATTATTATATTCATTCAAAAGTTACTAACTTTATATAATTCTGGAGTTTCTGTTGGTATAAAATATGATATAAATAATTAAATATAGAATGAATCAAAGAAAAGAACAAATTATACTTAAAATTCAGAAGCCCCCCTATGTTTCTAACCAATTTAAAAGTTTTGTTTAGTAGCAAAGACAAATAATTCATTTCTGGACATTGGAAACATGATGTTTCGTAACTTTAGAGTTACTTTTGTTTCCAAAATTAATTTTTATAGAGCATAAAATTGGCCGAGAGGCAATTTTCAATAATAACGTAATATTACAATTACAAACACTATAAATACCTAGTAAAGTTTAAACAATCCCTAAAAAATTAATTTCTCATTTAATATTACAGAATAAAAATAATACAGCATGTCTCAAGAGAAAATAGAAATACTTTCCACGATGTTCTCAGACAATAGTTTGATACTATGTGGCACTATCAGAAAAAAATGTTTTTAAAATGAAATAAAATTATGCAAATACTATTATAAAGACAAAGTTGGCCGTTATTCTCTGCAATTTAAGTCTTAGCTACGGTCGTGATCCACCTGAAAGAATAACCATCATAAAACATATACAGTGAGAGCATATATAATTGTAATTATAGCTAGCAAACTTTCCTGTTAAAATTCTACTGAATCTAAAAGTCATTTTATCCATGCATTTTAATGCGAAGGAACAACAAGACTGCAAAATACTGAAAGTATTGGTTGAAACACTAGTGCTAATTAAATTCTAGGTATGTTACACTACTTACAGAACAGTGCTAAAGTTCACATTTCACTGACTTAGGTCAAACTTCCACAAGTTCTGGTGTTTTTCATAACCGGTCACTTCAATTTGGGCACTATTTGATTGGTGACTATATTTACTTACCTCCCAAATTGAAGAGCTTAACAATAATGACAAAAATACATTTCAATATACAAAAATATATAAAAATAATATCCTTCCATTAATGCGATTTACATAATGGAAAAAAGTAAATTAAAAGTTAATCGTACTGTATTGTACCGACTGAGCGTTTAGACGGACCGTACTAGGAGATCATTCAGAACGAACAGTGAACCGTCTGTACTCCCTTATAAGACGAGTCCAACTGTAAACTGCAAAGACCAACATTTGCTGCCGCATAATGTGCCGGCACATTTGGGTCAGTGCAGTTTGTAAGGACTAATCAGTGGAACGAAGAACATAGATCCGGGTTAGCATGCGTATTATAAGCGAGGATAGACTTTTTATATATTCTTGCTAGCTTAAGTTCTTTTGTTTTACAGGATGTGAAAAAGCCCTTCACATATTCAATGGGTCATGATTTAGCCAATATTAGGGTGACGTGTGGCAGTTCAGTTTCCAACATGCACACAAAAATCGACAAAACGCAAATGAGTTTTTTTTAGCGCTTTCTGTGGCAAGTAAAACTTAAAATTCCTGTACGTTTGTTTAATATAGGTTATTTTACTGAAACTTGACATACTGACATATAGACTGCCAATATAACAACGGACCAAAATTTAACCATGAAATTGTTTTCAGTACTGAGATTGACTAATTGTACAGGAACGGGTAAATTCATTTTCTTTAACTGATTCAAGCCGACCGTTCACTGGGTTTAGGCCAACCATATTCAGTAGACAGCCATAGTCACAATATATACAGATGGACTGTAAACAAGTTTTCTACGTCAAGCCTTTTGTGAATCATTCTGCAGTTTGAATTTTTTTTTTTATCACACTTCAATAAAAACAATTGTTCATTTTTGGTCCTGGGCTACGT